CAGTTTCTGCCTTTAAGGGAATGTTAGTTTTTTAATTTAAAAGTTAGACTTTGGGGCGCCTGGGTGGCTCAGTCGGTTAAGCGTCTGCCTTTGGCTCAGGTCATGATCCCAGAGTCCTGGGATCGAGCCCCACATCGGGCTCCCTGCTCCGCGGGAAGCCTGCTTCTCCCTTCTCCCACTCCCCCTGCTTGTGTTCCCTCTCTCACTGTGTCTCTCTCTGTCAAATAAATAAAATCTTTAAAAAAAATAAAAAAATAAAAGTTAGACTTTTTTTCTTATAAGTAATACTACTTCTCAAGAATTTGAAAACAGTTCTAGAAATTGATCCCATCATATTTCTTGCATGTGTAGTTCAGGTTCTTTACTTAATTTGTGTACTGAATGCCAGCCACAAAGCTACAAACAGTACTATGCCTAACATGATAGCTAATTATATGCTCAGTCTTAAGAGTTGGAGCAATTCCACTAAAGGAAAATTCCATCACAAAATGGTTGGCTATAAACCAGTATAATTCAGTTATTTTCTTTCTTTAAGATTTTATTTATTTATTTGAGATAGAGAGTGAGAGCAAGAGCATGAGCTGGGAGACAGAGGGAGAGGGAGAAGCAGGCTACCCACTGAGCAGGGAACCCGATGTGGGGCTCAATCTCAGGACCCTCGGATCATGACCTGAGCCAAAGGCAGATGCTTAACCAACTGAGCCACTCAGGCACCCCAATTCAGTTATTTTCTGATAGAACTCTTATATCAAGCAATCTAAGCTGTATGGGCCTTCAGAGGTAAAGTGGAGAAAGGGACAAAAGAAAACAAAAGTACAGTTTTAAGGACCAATAGACATCAAAGAGAATAACTGAATTAACTTAATCTTTACCTAAACTACTTTTATCCTAAGACTTCTAGGATTAATATATATTGTACAGAGGTTTGCCATTTGATACAACTATCTTTTCTAAAGAACTCTCAATGTTTTCTTACAGATATGAGTCAGCCCCGCTGCCAGAGAAAGGAAACATCTTAACTTACTGGACTAGAATTTCTAAGCCTGTCTTTAGAAAGATGTTATTTCCCATTCTGCTCCAGACTATGTTTGCAGCATACCTTGGATCTAGACAATATAAGCTAATTATAAAGGCCCTTCAGTTACCTGAACCTGGCCTAGAAATTCAGTGACTGTTAAACAAATGTGTACACAAAAATAAAATTGTAATGTATGAGTAAGTGTCTAGTGTATGAATAAACGTAGACTTTTAATCATATGAGGTACAATTCTGGGACCTATAACATAAGGCTACACAGGGCAGCAAAGGCTGAATACTAATAAGGTAGTATTCTTAACTTAAACAAAATCCTTAAACTTAATCCTTAAACAAAAGCTTAACTTCTCTAGTTTGCCCAATATTCTCTTCTACTTTGCTTGCTCCACTCCTTTATATTAAACCATATTTTAGTCTGTAACCGGAAAAATAACCATACAGCAGTTTTTACTGAAGACCTCATAAAGAATCCAAGCAGGAATGAAAATGGGAGGTGGGGATGAGGATTAGTTCACTACAGCAAATGTTCACTTCATTTTCCCAATTCACTGTTCCCATAGGTATTATTAATCCATAGAAATTTAGGACATATTTAACAACCTTCCTCACAGAGGAATCAATTCCAGCAGTCTAAAAGATGATAGGCTCAGCTAGAGCCCATATATTGACTGATACAGTGATACAATGATACAGTTACCTACTTCTAGAGTCCTCTTACTTATTTGTCTTTGGAAAGCTATATTCTTGGAAGATTGAGGCAAATTCTACCTTTGAAGCTTCCGTTTAGTGTGGGATAGTTCTTTGGGATCACATACCTAGGCCTCTTCTTTTCAGCTTGATGTTAAGCAAGTTAACCTCTTTTCTCTGGTTCTCAGTTTCTTCATCAGTAACCTAACTCAGTAGGGTATTACATAATATATGGAAGTTGACTACCACAGCACCTGACATAAATGGTAGCACTTAAATGGTAGTTATACTCTTCCTATTGTTCCTGGTTTTGTTTTCTAAAACAGCCTAGTTTAATATTCCTCATTTCCTAAAACACATCATTTAAATTTTTATTTATTTGACAGAGAAAGAGCGAGAGAGGGAACACAAGCAGAGGGAGTGGGAGAAGGAGAAGCAGGCTTCCCGCGGAGCATGGAGCCCGATGTGGGGCTGGAGCCTGATGCGGGGCTGGATCCCAGGACTCTGGGATCATGACCTGAGCCGAAGGCAGACGCTTAACGACTGAGCCACCCAGGCGCCCCCAGATCATTTAAATTTTTGAAGTGACCTTTTGTGTTCCCCTTCGTAAAACTTTTCATCTCAGTTCTTCAAACCAGTCTTACGTGACAGCATCTAAATCAGCATTGTCCAACAGAACTTAGTGTGATGATGGAAATGTTTTATACATGATTGACAATGTTAGCTACTAGCCATATGTGGCTACTGCACATCTGAAATGTAACTAGTCCCAACTGGATACATGAATTTAAAATTAATTTAAATTTTTTAGCCACATGTGGCTAATGGCTACAGTATTGGACAATATAGATCTAGACCAATACTTTCTTATGAAATAAGCCAGTCATACCAAATACAGTAAGTACCATCCCAGATCATATTCACAAGCATCTTAATTATCCCTTTCAAATATAGTGACATATTTGTTAAATAATCTTATGCTACTTAATTATATGAAAGGAGAATTTAGCTTGTCACCTAGAAAAGGCAGCCTCGTGAGTGAGACAGGCCTTCAGGGTCTCCAAAGAGAAAGCAGTCCAGCTAAAGATTTTAAAATTCAAATGAAATTAACAAAATACGTTTTAAATTTTTCAGAAAGCAAAACTGATGTTCAACAAGTGCCTTGAAATGTATTCCCTAGCAAACTTATATATGAAATGATCCCAATTATGAGGCAAAAGAATCTATATTTTGCCGTGAATATTCTCTGGGTTACAGAATTAGGGGTGATTTTTCTTTTTGTTTTGATTTCTTTCTGAATTTTCTGCTTTCTATAATGAATATACTCTCTGACCCAAAATTACACACTTCTATCTACATTCTATCATTTTTATTTCAAGGAGAGTTCTACTTATCACAGCAGAGAAGAAAATGAATTAAAAGTAGCTCCTGACTTCAAAAATAAACCCAAATTACTCAATTAGACTCCTTAAAAAAAGGAGAATGGTGCTATCAACTTGGGATAATTCAAAAGCCACTGATATAACTAAATTGGTAATTCAGTACAAATTGTTTTCTTATCCTGACACATTCTAGCATAATACCTTCTATAAATAGAAGAGTTTGCAATGGTTTCTGTAACCAAGAAGAATTCCTTTCAAGAATCTGTCCTCTACCACGTATTTTTTAAATTATCTTTTCAATTAGTAAAAATGGGCAACGTAAGCAAATGACCGTATTATTTTACATCTATTGCTACAAGTCTACAAAAATTTTTGGTTGGGGGCAGATAAATACATGTAAACTTGCTGTGATCTGTGTTACAATTTAGGGAACAGTCATTTGTAGCTAAGACCAAAAGAACACTGCCTCAGTCAGGAAGGCAGTTTTTAATAGTTCAGTCATACTAAACTATTTAAATCCGTCTTTTACAATTTACCTGGTGTAGTTATCTGGCTTTAAGAAAGAGGACTCATTATATTATACTTCAGATATTAATTTGTAAACCCCAAACAAAAGAACCTTAAAAGCCAGAGAGGTCTAGGAAATTGACCTCCATGGGTATACAGCAAAGATGCAAAATTCAAAGGCAGTGTAAAGAAAACTTGGGCCACCAATAAAAATCAAACCTATGCATATTAACACAACTACACAATTTTTCAAAACACCATTACAGACTACATTTTTAAATTAGATTAAAAATTAAGCAGAATAATTTTCAACAAAAATTATTTTGGGTCAACAAAACTACAAAAATTATTGAAGTCAACTGTAAACTGGTTTCCTTTTAAAAAGTGGGGAAAATGGCTCTAAGAAATCTTGAATGTACAAATAAGGGAAAGGTAAAAAGGAATAAAAAACCTATCAGTAACCAAAGCAATGAAAAAGGCAAAGGCAGGTTCACAAGCAACTTTCTATTAACCTATATATTTTTTTAAATATCTGTTTTTCCCTAATATTGCATTATCTATATTCCTAATGACAGTTATTTACTTTCTGAATTTAAATTATCTCCGGTTTAATTTTTCTGCATTTCAAAATTGAAAGTAAATGACCATTTGTAGTCTAGGTCAGAGCTGAGAGCAGTCTGGTATTGTAAGGCAGTAACAAGTGACTGCCAGAGAGAGGACTGAGATAGTCAAGTTCAAATATGCGAAAAATACTGTGCTGGCCACACAAAACATTCTACAAGTTTCTAATGGAAGACCTCCCCGTTTTGATCCCTAGCTTAGATGGTAACTACCTGGTTTCTGAAGAAAAAACTGCACAGTAAAACACAGAAATATAAACATTTGGGAGGGTCTCAAAACTTTTATGAGTGAGGGGGAAAAAAACACTTGAAAGTATTTTACTACCTATTCAACTTTCAAGAATCAGATTAGTTAGCTTAAAAGGCTTACTAATTAGTGAGACCTTAAACTAGTACTTCAAAATGCTAAACCAGGTGATCACATATTTTTAAAGGTAATTACTCGTTATCAGTGAATCACTCTGTTCTTAATCATCACCAACTAGAATTCATGCCAAATCTTTGGTTGTGGAATTACAACCAGCTGGAGCGTTTGTACCATGGGAGCATCCATCAGTCAAGTATAAGCCACTGGGCATGCCCTTCGCTGCCTCACATCACAGACACTGGCTAAATTTAGATTACAAGAAACAGAGTGTGTTTAATATCATACAATAACTAAACTGTATAGTTATTATGATAAATCATCCTGGGCCGATCTCCTACCCCTCCCACCTCTCTGGTCTGCACACTTCCCAATGAGTCAGTAAGATAAAATGACTCAGTCTAGACCAGATGAAAGAATGTATTAACATAATCCATCAAAAATGAAATAAAACAATCCAGAGTTGAGTGTTTTTTCACACTTGTAATAAACTGGAAAAATGTTTCAATTAAGTAAAACAACCATATTATGTGGAAAAAAACCACTCCCATCATCCAGAATACTAAAGCCCTTACATAACACTAGAGACATTTAATATATAACATTAGAAACTAGGATACCATTCATAAGAAACCTCAAAATAGTCAAAAAGTGTCAAGTACTCAAAACTCAAGAAGCCAAAACCTCAGAATGCAAACATCCTATTACCCTGAATTGCAATTAACTACTCAACAGATTTAATAATTTTTTCAAAGATACACAAGACAAATCAATGCATCTGTTAAAAAGACTACTCTTTATAGTTAAGGACTTTACATTAACTTTTATATTCTACTCAGCAAGGTCTGCCTATACTTCAGATTGGCTCTCAAGTTCCAGGAAATAAATACAAACTCATGATATGCTCTGTGATCCCTGATGGCCTGTTTATGTAATACTACACCACTAAATGTAATTCCATAGAATGTGTTCTTGATTATGTAAAGAGTCTAATATTCCTTGATGAAATACTATAATTCTCTTCTCAAATGGTTACAATTTTTGAAAGTTATGCAAAGAACTGATCATCACTCCCATGAAAGACAAAAAAAAAAAAGTATAATTTTGTTCCAAAATTAACTTAGTCTCATGTATTTCTATTAAGTCTTTTAAGGATTCCAGAGAATCTTTTCATATCTCCATATCTGGAAAGTGAAATCAGTATAGAAGTAATTTGGGAACTTGAAAATGGCATTCATTTTTTTCAGCAGATGCCAAATTTTTGACCGACATGGCTCCCACAATTACTTTGTTACCATCAGTCCAGTCAGTTAACAGGTTGTAGGAAAAGATTCGTTTTTGCAGACACTGCTAAGCTGTTTAAAGAGAAGAGAGAGAGATTAATTTAGTGATTACAAAATGCACAAATATTTAAAATACTTCGAACACTTTTTGTCGGATTATATCAGAGGTGTGACTACATTTTAACAAACGTGGACTTTTTAGTTAGGACTGGTCAAGAAAGTGCAGAAACAGTAAGTCAATATGATAGAAATAGGCGGTCAATATGATGTGTTAGTTCAATTAATGTATGAATTCCTGTCACCATCAGAAGACAAATATCAAAAAGCTACCTCTTTACACTAATTCTGTATCATTTTGCCATAGAGGCAATTAGGGAAGAAAAAAAAAAGGTTCCTCAAATACTGTTTTCAACCTCTACAATAGAGCCAAACCTTAAAATTTCAAAACAAACCATATTATATTCCAGAAATCTCCTTTATCCAACTACTAATCATTCAGAACACAATTTTCTAAAAATAGTAAGACAACAGTTTCATATTAATCATAACTTTTTTTAATTAACAAATAGTGAATAGGACACTTTAAGATATTGTTTACTACATACTGAAACAGATCTGTTGTAAATTCAGAAACCCAAACATTTACAGTAAAATGTGCTTACACATAAATATGATCAAATTTATTTAAAGCCCCTGACAGGTCCTAAATACATGCAATACCATGTAAAAACAAGACCATGGAGTTGATGCAAAAAATGACAAAATCACTAAGTCACCAAAATTAGAAAAGAAAAAAAAAAGAGAGAATGAAATGGAAACTAAGAAAAGACAGTTAAAACATAAGGAGCCTAACAAAGCAGCTTTAAAAATAGGCGATACTAATCTCCATTTTCATAAGTTCTTAATCAAGTATTTCCAAAAACTGCCATTTATAAAATGGCATCCTAAAAATCTACACTTGGAATTTTCAAAGCATCCCAATTCAGAAAGCTTTGACTACTGTTTCTCCCCAGCCCCGAACTTCAAATAATGCAGGAAAAGCACTGACATTAGAAGAAAATATTCCAAGGGAATGGTATTTTAGAAAAACACACTTACTGCTTCCAGAACCTTTTAAGACCCACAGTCAGCATTAACAACAATCATTTTTCCTATTTTCATCCATTATTTTCCAATGTCATGTTAGAGATGAATAAATTCTTTGAGCCCATAACTGAAAGATCAACAAACCTGGTTTTATTATGACACCATATTTTTGTCATTGGTACTGCACAAAATTATATACAAAGAAATATATACAAAATGTTCAAGTATTAATTTCAATTCAAGGCTTCTGTTTCAAAAAGCTACATTTAACATATTCCATAGAGATAGCACAAATTAGTCATTTCAAATAATTTTTCCAACTACTTTT